CTAGAAAATCCTGCTCCCCAGAGTCCACTGGAGCTAGTTTTCCAATAAGACATCTATACAAGAGTGCTGGGCTTCAAATCAGGAAGACCTGAATTTACATCTTGTCTCATATATGTACTAGCTCTGTGACCCCAGGCAAGTCACTAAACTTGTCTGCCTCAGTTTCCTCATCTGTAAAATGGGAATGATAATAGCACCTATCTCCCAGCATCATTGTGAGGCTCAAATGAGATAATCCATGTAATGCTCTTTGTAAACCTTAAAGTATTATAGAAATGCTAGCTAGTATTATTATTATTAAATCAGGACAATAAAAGCTTAGGTAGACAATAAAAACAGGGCTACTATTTTCAAGACTTCCCCAAAGCCCACAAATGCCTCAGATGTATCCTGAGGCTAGCGGGCACCAATGAACTAGAGGAGAGATTTCTTAGGATCCCAAATCAGAGACTGATGGGCCAAACAGTGGAGAGCTATTTTCAGGAAAACTAAGATCAAATATGGGTGGGTAGGTGGTGTAGTGGATAGAGTGCATGGCCTACAGTCAAGAAGACTCATCTTCCTGAGTTCAAATCCAGCCTCAGATACTTACTAGCTGTGTGACCATGGGCAAGTCACTTGACCCTGTTTGTCTCAGTTTCCTCATCTGTAAAATGAGCAGGAGAAGGAAATGGCAAACCACTCCAGTATCTTTGCCAAGAAAACCCCAAATTGGGTCATAAAGAATTGGACATGATTAAAAACAACAAGGCCAAATATTTCTGAGTTGATGCCATAAGTAACACCTGGCTACCTAGGCTGATATCTCTCGAAATGAATTTGATGGGGCAGTGAAGTGGCGTAGGGGATAGAGCACCAGCCCTGAAGTCAGGACGACCTTAGTTCAAATCCGCCTCAGACCAAACACTTCACATTTACTAGCTGTGTGACCCTGGGCAAGTCACTTAACCCCAACTGCCTAATCAAAAGAAAAAAAAAGAAATGAATTTGACATTCATCTATTTTCAGAAAGGTCAGTGTCCCACAGGTGAGAATCCACCAAAGAAACCCTCCATGTGACCAGCTAAAGAAAGAACAAGTCATCGAGCAGAAAAGGACAGTTTTGTGAGTAGTTTTTCTTTAAGATCACATATTTTAAGATCATAGATTTGGGGCTGGAAGGAACCTTGGCGAACATGTAGTACAACCCCCTCATTTCACAGATGAGAGAACTAAGGCTCAGGAGTAGTTAAGTCACTTGCTCACGGTTTCAGAAATAGTAAGTCAAAGATGTGAATTTAAAAGTGAGGTCATCAGACACTTACTAGCTGTGTGACCCTGAGCAAGTCACTTAACCCCGATTGCCTCAAAAAAAAAAAAGGTTATAGCGAGGTTCTCTGACTCCAAATCCAGAGTTCTTTCCTCTACACCACATCAAAGAAACAAATGAAAAACTGCTCAGCTTCAATAGAATTACTGCAATGAACAGAAGTCCCTAAAACTGATATAAATTTATAAGAGGAATAGCCATTTCCCAATATAAGTCAGATTCAAGTCAAGCAACATTTCTTTAAAAACCTACTATATGCAAGACACTGAAAGTCAAAGGATATCCATGTATAATTGGGGAAAGAGGCAATCAGTGATTAATTATCACTTGAAAAATTGTTTAAGCTCCCAAGACAAATGCACATCAAAACAACTTTGAGGTATCCATTAAACTAGAAATCATGAAAGATAAAATTCACTGATGGTGGTCTGTGGGGGAAAATGTATACTGTTAAGACCGGTTGGTAAGTAGCAAGGTATTAGATAGCTTGTATACTACTGGACTTGACCTGAGTTCAAATATGGCCTGAGATGCCAGCTAACTGTTTGACCCTGGACAAGTCATTTCACCTCTCTGTGCTTCACTTTCCTCATCTGTAAAATGAGGATAACAATAACACCTACCTTCCAGAACTGTTATTTATTTGTAATAACATTTGCATTTTGCAAACCTTCAAGTGCTATATAAATTCTAACTATTATTTATTGGTAGAGTTATGAATGATAACAATATTTTTGCAGAGCAATTTGACAATGTTATAAAGCTGAACCCACTTCTAGTACTATATCCTAAATATGTTCTCAAAAAGGTTGTGGGGGTGGGGTGCAGCTAGGTGGCTCAGTGGATAGAGTACTGGCCCTGGATTCAGGAGGACCTGAGTTCAGATCTGACCTCAGACACATAACACTTACTAGCTGTGTGACCTTGGGTAAGTCACTTAACCCCACTGCCTAGCAAAAACAAAAACAAAAAAACAAAAAAATGGTTGGGGGGGGAAGAAGGGAGGAAGTGTATTTGTATAAAAATAGTCATAGTGGCTTTTTTGTAATAGGAAAAAAGCTGGCAGTAACCTATATTGAAACCAAAGCTAGATTAATTGTTGAACAAATGGTGGCATGTCAATATGGTATATTTATTATAAGCCATAGCATTTCCAGGATCCATGATATATCAGTAAGTTTGGAAAGTATTTTACATAAGTTACCTCATTTGATCCTCACAATAATTATTATCCTCATTTTGTTGTAGTTCAGCCATTTCAGTTGTGTCCAACTCTTGGTGACCCCACTTGGGATTTTCTTGGCAAAGATACTAGATTGGTTTGTCATTTCCTTCTCAGCTCATTTTATAGATGAGGAAACTGAGGCAAACAGCATTAAGTAACTTATCCAGGGTCACATAGCCAACAAGCATCTGAGGCCACATTTGAACTCAGCTCTATTCTGACCCCTGGGCTAGTACTCTAGTCACTTTGCCACCTAGATGCCCCATCCTTATTTTACAAATTAGAAAAGTAAGCCTTCGAGAAATTAAAGTGACTTGCCCTGGGTCACTTATCTCCTTCAGATCCTCCAGATTTTCATCATTCTATCCACTATATCACCTAGTTTCAAGTACTCCTTCTATAGAAGCAGATGACTTAGAACAGAGGTAGCAAATACCACATTCTGCAGGAATGACATTAAATGAAAAGGGAAACATTTAAGTATGAAAAAAAGAGGTATAGAGGAACAAAAATAATGAACAAAATAAATATACAATAAAACACAGATAATGTTAATAGGTGTTTTTCTTAATATGCAGCCCTCAGGAATCCTTTGGTCTAGCTTAGAAGCTCCCATTTCTTTCAGAGTTTGACACCACTACCCAAAAGGGCAGTTTCAAGAGCTCTTGTAGGAGGAAAAATGGTCTCAGGGCCTTCACCCCTTTCTGGTAAAGAGCCTTCCTCTGCAATTAGCTAGGCTGGTCATTCAAAAAGAGACACAGCATCCTCAGTGCAGCCCTTACTTGAAGCTCCTCCAGCTTGATGGTACCTGCCAAAGCCTGTGCTCAGAGGCATGGCATTCCTGAACCTCAACACCACTGAGACATTTTTAACAGAAGATTATTGTGCCCCAATAACAAATAAGAAAACAAAGAAATATGCAAAGATTTATTCAAAGTGATGCCAAATAAAGTAGGATCAGAATAGCTATGACTGTAAGAAAGAACCACAAAAATATGATAAACAGACATGAGACCAGAAATGGACACAGAGCAAATACTCCGCTATTTTGTAGGTACACAAACATTGATTTTCTTTTATCAAACTAGAGTTTGTGGTTGTAGGTGTAATATTATTTATTAGCTTTTGCTGAGATAGTTACTGTTAGTAATAAATGTTATGGGAGGAAAAGAGGCAGTCTAAGAGTAGGGAAAAGAATTTAAGAGAGAGAGAGAAAATGGAAAGGAAGATAGTGAAAGAAAAAAAAGAAAGGTAAAGAATGAAAAGTGAGATAAGTGTGAGAGTAAAGGACTTAGGAAGAGTATGAGAAATCAAGAAGAATGAGCGTGAAAGAAGAGTAAAAGAGAGAGTACGATAAATGAGTGGGCGAAAAAGAGACACCTCCTTCTCTTCCAAACACACTCAGTTCCTCACACTCAGAACAGGGAACCTAACTCCAGCACTTCTTTCAAGTGTCCAACTTACCAAACATAATGTAATGTGACAATTAACACTAACACTGTAAATTCAAAACCCTGCCCAGAAAGCAATTTATCAGATACAATCTGGTTAAGCAAAAGAGAAAAACATTCAAAGTTAAGTCATGTGTCTCAGTGAATAATATAATTAGCTCCAGGTCTGATCTGGGCGAGTCGAGGGTCACAGGGAGCGCCGGCAGAGGGCCAGACAGAGCCCCGGAAGCCCGGAGCACGGGGGCAGCCTCCACCCAGACACATCTTCTCCGAGACCCAGTCGGTGCTGGAAAATGGGTCTCCAGGCCGTGGCAACTTGCCCACCTCGGCTTCACCAGAGACTTCTCTCCCCATCTCTGCTTGGCTCCCCACAGATGTGCAAACAGTCGTCGGAGCAAAGAGAACCAGAGGTTCGCAACAATCGCTCTTTGAAGGTTAAAATAAGAAGTTAAACATTTGTACCTTTAAATATCCCCCGGCAGGCCCGGACCGGCCCTCACCTCGCTTGGCCTGAAGAAAGCGAAGTGCCCTGGCAACGGACTCCGCCCCTCTCGCCCTTAAGCCCTCTCCCTTAGGACAGCTAATGGGGCTTTTTTTTCCCCTTTTCTTACCTTTTAGATCGTCCAAGCAATCCCTCCCCTCACTTAACTAAGCGCCACTCCCGTGCAGAGTACTCCTTGACTCCCTCCCTCGATTGAGCCCCCCAAGTTGCTCAGGTCCCCCTTTCCCTCCCTCATTAGAGACCCCAGTGTTCCTCTTGTTACTCTTTCCAGTGCACTCTCCCCCAGAATCCCCAGATCCCTCACCTACTACCCCATCAGAACCCCCAAAGGTCCCCTTCCTCTCATCGAGACTCCCGATCCCCCTTCTCCCGGAACCCCTAGAACCTTCGCCTTCTCCAAGAGCCACTGATGCCCCCGAACTAGACCTTCCCCTCCCCACAGAAGCCCCTGTGATGCCTCCTACAACTCCCCGGTCAGCTCAAAGAGCCCACACGCCCCTCCACGCTCCCTACCTGTTCTGTGCTATAGGAGGGATGGACTAAGCGCGACTGGGCAGGGATTGGGGCAATTCTGGTGCCGGTTCCACTCGTTACCCGCGAAACGGGAGATGAAGGCAGAAGGCAGAGTGCAGAGCCCAGCGGCAGGAGCAGAGCGCCGGGTTCCTGGGCTCCCGGGTCTGGAATCCGTCTCCCCAGGGAAGCTGGAGCTAGGAGCGGGGGCGTGGAACAGGAGGGCGGGGCGGCCGGCGGGCAAGGGGAGGCGCTGCTCCGAGCCGAGCCAAAGTGGACAGCCCCAAAGATCCGAGGAAGCATCAAACCCGGGAGCTGCTCTCTGCTTACTGGCCAGCTGTGGGGCTCCTTCTCAGTTCAGTATCCCCCATTCAACAGATAATTAGCTAAAGTCTATTGTATTTTGGAATTTTCCTTTAAAAAAAAGATACTTAAATGCTCATACCCTTTGACCCAGATCTGAGCAATATTCTCCAATGAGGTCAAAGATAGAAAGTAAGAAAATAAACAAACAAATAAATAAATAAATAAATAAAAACTAAAAAAGAAAAAAGAAAGTAAGGTCCTATATACATCAAAATGTTCATAGCAACACGTTGTGGTAGCAGAGAACTGGAAAGAAAGTCCCCCAATGATTAGGATAGGCTAAAATAATGTGTAGTATATAAGTGTGCTTAAGAAACAACGAATATGAAAAATACAGGGAGGAAGGGGAAGACATGGGAACAGATGCCAAGTGATATAAACAGAACTAGGAAAACAATATGAATGATGATCACAACAGCATAAGGGGAAAGACCAACAAAACAATAGATACTGAATTCTGTGGAATTTTCCCCAAGCTAGGCTCCAAATTGGAAACAGAAAAATACATCGGGCAGCTAGGTGGCACAGTGGATAGAGTACTGGGCCTGGAATCAGGAAGTCTCATCTTCCCGAGTTATAAACCTGGCCTCTGACATTTAGTAGCTGTGTGACCCTGGGCAAGTCATTTGACCCTGTTTGCCTCAATTTCTTCGTCTGGAGAAGAAAAATGGCCTAAGAAAATGGAGAAGAAAACACCTAAAAGGCACTTACCAAGAGTAGGACATTAACAGAAAAGAATATATCTCCCTTCTTTGCAGACTATGAGTGTGGAACATTATGCAGACTGTTGATATGTTGGTTAGTTTTACTGAATTTTTTTCTTATTGTTATTTTTTATTACAAGTGATGGCTTTCCAGGAGGGGTTGGGAGAGGAATATATTAGGAGACTTAGAAGATGCAAAAATGTTAATACAACTTTTTTAAACCCTAAAAGGAATAGTTTAAATAGAACTTACTGTATGCAGAGTCCAGCTCTTCAAGGGGTTGGGGGTGGGGTGGGGGGAGACAAAGAAAATTCCTTGCTCTCATGAAGCTAAAGGGCTAGTTTTATTTCCAGGCCTTGCCATTAATTGTATGACCTTGCTCAATTTATTTAACACCTCAGTTTCCTCATCTGTAAAATGGGAGATAAAGTATGGAAAGCACTTTGTAAACTTAAAAAAAAGTAAGATACTATATGAGAGGCAGTTTGGCATTGCAAATAGAAGATCAGCTTAGAGTTAGGATGACCTGAGTTCAAATCCTGCCTCTAACAAAGAAGTTCTCATATACAAAAGTTCTTTGAATTCCAGTCAACAATCAACGGGGAGGTTTCTTAGCATAGGAGTCAGGGGCCTCAAGGGAGGTAGCATGGTGCAATGAGAAGAACTGGCCAGGAAGTGAGAGAACCTGAGTTCCTGCCACTGAGACTACCAGTATGACCTTGGGCAAGTCACTTACCCTCCCTTGGCCTCAGTTTCCTCAACTGTAAAATGAAGTGGTTGGACTAGATGACCTCTGAGGTTCTTTCCTGATCTACCATGATCCTATGACCAGATCATTGCATAAGAAATTTATGCTGGCACCTGTGTGAAGGATGGATTGAATTGGAGAGGCAGGAAGACCTATTGGGAGACTTGTAATAGTTCAGGCAGATGGTAATGAGAGGCTGTATGAGGGAGTTAGCTGTGGGAATAAAAAGCAATGCATTTTAGAGATGTAAGGGGAGGAAGCAATAGCACTAGACAACTGATTGTATATAGACTGTGAGGGAAAGAGAAGAGTCCAAAATAATCTCAAGATTTCCAGGCCTCCCTTCCCTACATACTTCCAAGAAACAAATAAACATAGTAATCAATCTGTAGGAGATTACTCTGTTGCTCAAAATTCAGATGGAAAGTCTTTGGTAAAATTCTGATGGATCTACTTTAGAGCCAAAGTTTTGATGGAAACATGTAGTGAATACTCCCAAGCTCTCCCAAAAGGCTAATCTCTTATCCTTTGTATCCCCTGAATTTCCTTGTCCTGAGTCTTCATGGCTCTACCTGTGGCCTTTGTTTGTCCTGTGGCATTGTTACAACTAATTCACACACCTGAACTATGGCCCAAAATCTGGAACCACCACAGAAGGAGGGATAGCTGGAGAGAGAGGTTCAACTGAAGCAGCTTAGGAGAACAGCTTATCCAGAGTAGGCAAGAAATAGTTACCATTAAGAAATAGTCACTACGGACTGATCCAACCATTCTGGAGAATAAGTTGGAACTATGCCCAAAGGGCTATAAAACTGTGTATACTCTCTGATCCAGCAATACAATTCTAGGTCTGCATCCCAAAGAGATCGTAAAAAAGAGAAAAGGACCCACATGTACAAAAATATTTATAGCAGCCCTTTCTGTGGTGGCAAAGAATTGGAAATTACAGGGATGCCCATCATTTGGGAATGGCTGAACAAGTTACGGTATATGAATGTAATGGAATAGTATTGTTCCATAAGAAATGATGAGCAGGCAGACTTCAGAAAAACCTCAAAAGACCTACATGAACTGATGCTGAGTGAAGTGAGCAAAACCAGAAGAACACTGTACACAGTAACAGTAACATTATATGGTGACCAACTTTGATAGACTTAGCTCTCCTCAGCAATGCAATGATCTAAGACAATTCCAAAAGACTCATGATGGAAAATGCTATCCATATCCAAAGAAAGAACTATGGAGTCTGAATGCACATCAAAGCATACTATTTTCTCTTTTTTGTTTGTTTGTTTTTTCTTTCTTGTGGTATTTCCCTTTCGTTCTGATTCTTCTTTCACAACATGACTAATATGGAAATATATTTAATATGATTATATATGTATAGCCTATTTCAGATTGCATGCCATCTTGGGGAGGGGAGAAGGAAGGGAGAGGGGAAAATTTAGAACTCAAAATCTTATAAAAATGAATGTTGATGGGGGCAGCTAGGTGACGCAGTAGATCAAGTTCAGCCTTGGAGTCAGGAGGACCTGAGTTCAAATCCAACCTCAGACACTTGACACTATCTGTGTGACCCTGGGCAAGTTACTTAACCCCAATTGCCTCACCAAAAAAAAGTTAAAAAAAAAGTGAATGTTGAAAACTAAAAAAATATTAATTAATAAAAAGACATGGTAATAGTCACCAGAAAAAATAAATGCTTGTTAATTTTTTAAAAATTAACTAACAAAAAGAAATAGTCACCAGAGATGGGGCAGAAAGGACTCTGACAGAGTCGTGGAGGAAAAAAGGGAGGAAACTAACCCTATCCTTTCACTGACACTGTGAGACATGTGGATGCTACAGGTTCCAAGGAAAGATGAGACCTGTCAGAGCGGAGAGTTGCTCGTCTCCCTTTTATTTTTTACACCATGGACTCATTGCCTCAATCCCAAACTCTCAAGGCACTCATAATCATTGCATTGTTGTACACTCTATAGCTTTCCTAGGCCGGATACTCGCACCCTTTTTAGGTTCTTCCCCTACACAGCAGGGGAGAAAGACTGCTCAACCCCAAGAAAGTACTATTAGTCTGGAACAGGGGTTGGGAACCTGAGGCCTCGAGGCCACATGCGGCCTTCTAGGTCCCTGGGTGCAGCCTTTTGACTGAGTCCAAGTTTTATAGAACAAATATTAAGGGGATTTATTCTGTCAAGTTTGGATTCAGTCGAAGGGTCACACTTGAGGACCTAGAGGGCCATACATTGCCTTGAGGCCACAGGTTTCCTACCCCTGGTCTAAAACATAGGTTCCCAAAGTGGGCAATACTGCCTCCTGGGAGGGTACTGGAACGATTGGGAGGAAGTAACAGCCTCAGAAGGGTCATTGAATAAAAATAAGGAGGTGGTGGAAGCATAAGGAAAGAAGAAAAGATAAGAAAAACCATTTGTATGTGTTTCATCCATTGTGTAACAGAGTTAAAGTCATAGTGATTACATTATTTTCCAAATAAACACACAACATGCAAGTTATAACTGATCAGTGGTCAAGTCTACCAACAGGTCTTAACAAACAAGTGTTGGCAGGAAAGCATGTTGCTCATTGTTGGGAAGTCCAGCATGTATCAGCAGGAATATGTGCATGTAATGATGTGGTTACAATATGACACTATACAGTTACATGTATAGTATATGTAATATAGCATCAGCAAAATTTCAGGGTAAGAAAAAAACACAAATTTACAATAAATTATTAAATTTAAGATGCATCATTTAAAAGAATATATTTTGTATGTTTTTGAAATGATGCAAATTTTTTAAAAAGTTAAAGTGTTAAAGAAAGTAGATTTCCAGGGGGGCACTGAGTAATTTTTTTTGAAAAGGGGGCAGTAGGCCAAATAAGTTTGGAAACCTCTGGTCTAGAAGGTTGACTGGCATTCCAACTCTGGATTCTTTCCATAAGCCCATCCCTCCCCCAGAACAGTACTATATGTCAGAGCAATTGTATAGATTCCTGAGGGGATAGAGTACATCAGGTGAAAGATTTATCTTGACGATGGACTCCAGTATTAGTCCTTTGCATTTTCAGTTGGGTGAAATTAAACTTGTATTATAATTGGTATTTTGTCAGCCTGAATGCTTGCACAGGAGATAAGAGCCCTTAGAAAGACAAAAGCCCAAAAAAAGAAAAAAAAGAAAGATATAAACCAAATTCTGGTACTCCCAGGAAAGACTCTAGTTTAAGGTAAAATGAGCCATGTTGAGTTATTTTGAGACTCTTTCAATATCCAGCCCAGATCCTTGTGAATCCAAAGCTGTGGTTCGGATTCATGGATCATACATGGGGAAGTGGAAAGAATGCCTGAAGTTTGCAAGGTTCCTGGGTCCTTGAGAACTTTCTGTGCGTAGAAGAGGTCTGAGTGCAGACTACACTTCTGTGTAGTTTGAGAA